GGACGTTGAACCTCATCTCCCTAATGTCAGAAATGATCTTGGTGATGATGATGAAGATGACGACGATGAAGACTTCTGCATCCAATTCATTCCAAGACAACCACCATTGAAGGGAATCTCCATTTGGGAACCAGCTTTACAGAGGGAGAGACCTTCAGCTTCAAGGAACCAGCATTCCAAGGACAAGGGCAAAGGAGTGGCTAAACACAACCTTTCCATTGTACTCAGGGAATTATGTCCATCTGAGGTCGCCAAATCCTCCAGGTTTGTACCTATCACCTCAGATATTGAAATCTTGAACCTTATTGCTCTTCTTCTCTCTGCACCAACAAACCCTCCTGGTCCTTCAACACATCACACATATTGTGAAAGCATAGATGAAGGTGAAACAAAAATTCCAATACTCAGGGAGTTGCCTAGACAACTAAAGTGTTCAAAAACTGATGAAGACCATAGGCGGATTTAGCTAATAAATCAGCTCGATCAAACTAGAGTAAAAATCCCTCTTCGTACCTCTGGTTGTGGTGAGTTTGATTTCCTCACTGAAGCTGAATGAGAAGAGTCCTTGAAAACTGAAAAAGAGTTGAAGCTACATCAGAAACAACTAAAGGACAATGTAGAGTTAGCCAAGACTCTAGCTTCCAAAGCTCTAGCAAAAGGGAAACTCAAAAAGAAAGATCCTCTCAAAGCTCAGGCCAACTATTATCTGAAAGCTGAACGAGAACATCAACGGACGCTGAAGCTGAAAGATCGAGATCTGAAATGATACAAAGAAAGGATCAATACAAGGATAAGTCCCCACAAGATCTCAAACATCACCATGGAAGAATAAAGGATGGTGCCCTTCTAGTCCCAATGGTCATTTTCCGAGAGAATCAAGATGTTGTCACCGAGTATCCTTCATACCTCTGTCAGTATGGCTTCTACGAGTGGCTTGAGATTCGATAGGCTATTTAGAAAATCCAAATCCAAGCACAAGCCACTGATTGAAGATAGCCTGAATGAATTATTCAAGAAGGTGTCAAAGATCATCGAAGTTCCTCCTCTGCCAAAGAATCCGCCCTCTCAAAGAAAATCTATTTCAGAACCTGAAGACGATCCATCCCACAAGAATGAGCACGAGACAAAGTTCTAAGTGGATAACTTCTCAAGGACTGAAAGAAGCCGGATATCTCAATGCTCAACTTGCCATTGCCTGCGAAGGGTCCTTATATACCCAACACAGTGCACGTGAAACTTGAGTATGGACTTATGTTCATAGACTATGATGGTGAATACAGGTTTCAGCGAGTATCCAAGTTCCATCTATGGCCGATAGATCACTTAGAATATCTGAGGACTTGGCTAAATGATGATCTATTTGGAGAAATGATGGAGCGCAAGATCAGAAAGGAACTGTTGAGATGCAAGAAGATTGGTGAAGATGTCCTTAAATACATCAACTTCAGCAACTTCGATTAGACACCCTTTCAATCTTGAAATCTTATTTTCTTTTCTTATCTTTAAGTGTATAACCTTTATTATTAGGTCTACCAATGTTGATTGCAGTGATTTGTAGTATTTTCCCTTGAAAAATATTCAATAAAATTACCAATTCATTGAAAAAGATCCCTGAAAAGAGTAAATAAGACAAATATTTATGAGTTCTGTTTATGTCTTATATTCATTGACACCTTTCTAGTCAGTAAATATGCTTTCAGTTTCAGTTATTAATATTGTGCAAATTTATTCTTTCCTTGTAATCCTTTACAATTTAAGTAAATTTATATAGTTAACTGTATCACTAAAAAAGATCCCAAAACAGTTAAAAATGACAAGTATTTTACTACTTCCTTTTTCTTACTGATGTAACTTAAGGAATTTTCTTTATGTTGCTTTGTCATCATCGAATATGGGGAGATTGTTGATCATCTCTCTCAGTGGTTTGATGATGATCCATTTTATCTATCAAAGTGTATTGTTTTTGTATTCAGTTTCAGCGATCATCACCGAGTTTGTTCAGTGATTGTTGAACATGTATTGTAATTTGTTTAGAGACCAGTATCTTTCAAAAAAGAAAAACTCACATCACAAATCCTTTAGCGATGTCGAAGACAGAAGCTGAAGATTAGAAACCATCAAGTTCATGATCTGAAGTGGTTTTCAGTGATAACAAGCTCGTCTACACATGTATGAGATCTATGCAAGATTCAATGAATAGTGATGAGATCTTCAACGTCATTCCAACGTTCAACGATCAAATGAATCTTGTCGAGCAAGATTAGTCTTTGTCTTGTCCTTCTGCACACAAAGGACAAACTCATATCTTTCTAAAATATAGTACAATACAGAGTCACTCCTCTGTCTCCAAACGTGCTTACCTACTTTATGAAAGAAGACTGTTCGTATATGACTAAAAGACTGTATACCTGCAACAAATGACAAACTCTCCTCTAAGAGCTTGCCACGTATTTTGTACTTTCTAAATTGCATTTAATGCTATAGGTATAAATAGCTGAGTAGGTCTCTTCTCAATTATCATCTTCCTAATCTAATCTTACCCAAGAAGATACTTCTCTCTCTATTATTTGTCTAAGAGAAAGACCCACTTTAGCAAGTCAAGAGCACATTACTTCTTATCTTATTTCTTTTAGCAAGTCTTTTCTTATTGTTATCTGTAATTTGTGTGTATCTTAGATCGTTTAGATAGGTTCTGTATCCTATCTCTTTTGCAAACAATCTGTAAAATTTGTATTGATCTTCTTTATCAATATATAATTTTTAAAAGTGAAAGCTGTTGTGTTTGTATTCATCCCCCTTTTCTACAAACTGTTACCTTTAAACTCTTGTAGATCCGGCTGTAACCAACACCTTTTTCAACAAATTCAGGTCTTGTTTAAAAATCCGAGATAGAAACTAGTGTAAGTTTTGTGTTATCTTGTTTATCAAACTCTGAATTAGAATAAAATTTTCAAACTTTCTGATTTGATGTTTGACTACCTTGAGTATTTGAATCCAAATTAATATTTGTTTTTAAGAAAATAGAACCAAATAACTCATTTAACAATTTTGTTTCAGATTTGAATTTATTTTCATCAAGTATATCACTCAAAGATTATAAACAAGATATCTATCATCATCAATCACAACATGCGTTTCTACATCTTCTTTGTCTAAATCTGAATCTAAAGCATTAATCATCTCATCAAACTTATCTTGAGTCATATTTTCTATGAACTCAGATAATTTGGTTGATTCTTAATTTTCAAAACATTTAGAAGATTTGTAATCATTTTCAATCTAAATTTCAGGATCAAATTTATTTTGTGATGAGTTTTCTGTCTGAAAAGGTTCACCATACATAACTACTCAAATTTTTTGCATAAAATCTAGGTACTTTTCACTCCTACATCTCAAAAGATGTTTAGCTCATACTTGAGAAGAAGAATAAAACATAAAATAAAAGATTGCAAAAAGACATACCAAAAGATTTTAACTTGAATAAAAAGTCGCAATGCCCACACTCGAAGGTACTGAAAAAGGTAAATTACTCGAAATTAAATGTTACTGAAAAGGAAATCTAAACTTCTAGCTATTGGAAAATATTTCTCTCTAACTTTCAAGATTAAGTTTTCTACTCAAAAGTTAACAAGGTGTATTCAACTTCCATGCCAAGCTTCACCATTTATACTAGAGGTGAAAGAGTTGATGAGACAAATGTAGGAAAGGTTTGAACAACTTTTCCATCTGCAAAAAGAAAGTTTTCATCAAAATGTAGAACATAAATTCATTTGTCTTATAGCTTTTTGTCTTCGGTCAAAATTAAGCTTAAAATGTCCCTCATCAGCTTTTCAGAACTTCTTCTACCACCTTTTCAGCTATTAAAAACATCTTTACAGGTTTGTCTTTCAACTTTCTGGAGTGGGTACTCTTAAATTCCACTGCAGATAATTTCTCAATTTTACTGCATAGAGTCGCATCAAAGGGATCGAAATTACTCAAGTGGACAATTTCTACTCAAAACTGAATATTAGACCACAAATGGGAGCAGGGCGGATGCAATGGTAAAAAGGAAGGGGGAAGGGACCTTAGTCAAAAACTCAATAAAAAAATTCATAGGTTAAAATTTAGGTTTTACATGATTTACCTTTCACTTCCCCCCATTACATTTTTCCACGGACCCTCAACCCCAATCGAAACCGTTATCCTAACAAAAAAAATCTGTTGAAATCAATCAAACAAACCAAAAAAGTTATTCGAAATCGACAAAAACACTAAAAAATCGCTCGAAATCAACCAAAAAACTTTAAAATTCATTCGGAAACGTTGTAATTAGGTTAAAAACACATTGGACGATTTTGTGAGTCTTTAGTCTACCTTAAAGGTGACCCACTAAACAAAAATACTGGATCTACCACTGTATGAAAGTGAAAGCGAAATGATCCAGATTGATAAAAAATATATTAAAATAAAAAACAATAAAAATTATCACATGTTTAACGAGAACTTAAAAAGACTAAAGGGTCCTCATTTGTTGCTCTGTAGGTCACTTCGTTCAGAGCATTTGCATTAGGGATGAAAAGCTAAAGAAATTACAACTATAATATCAATGTAATAAATAAATAAATTTCTTTTAAAATGTACTTTATTCAATTTTGAATTTGAAAATCATTTAAAGATGACACGTGTAGGGTACTGATTTGGCATAGACTTTCCACAAAGTTAAAATTTGTAAGTCCAAGTAATTTACATCCATTATTGCGTTATGTACAATTCAGTAGAACAATAACATTATGAATCGTAAAGCTTAAGCTCTGGAAATAGGTTAATGGTCCACCAATAACCCACCGAATTTTTGTAACTATCCTAATACCGTTAGACAACCCCCCCACC